GAAGGAGGGGGGAAGAACAAGAGTCCTAGAGCACTGAATTTTACTTTGGAACCTCTTGCACCTCAACTCCAGTTCCTGCCAGCCAGACCCTGGGAGAGAGGAAAAGCCCTGCCTCTTCCTGCCCTTCCCACCCTCACAGCAGAGCTCAGAACGAAGCACTGAAAGACTCAGCTCCAGACCCAACCTGAGTGACACCACCCATGAGGACGCTCAGGACGGGGACAGGGACAGCTGGATGAGGGTGTCCCCTACTCTGCCCCTCCCACTATGACCAAGGCGAGGTGAGGTGGCCCTCGAGTGCCTTCGCACTGTGCTCCTGACACCACAGCGGGACCCTCAGGGGTGAGCTGGGCTTTGCTCAGACACACCTGGTGGGGACCGCCTCCCCCGGAGGCCATGGGACCTCAGAGAGGCGCACGTAGGACAGAACGTCAGCGACACGTTACCCTTCCCTCACATAAGAGTAGGCCAGAGAACCATTCGCAGCAATAAATATTTATTAATTACAGAAGGTGAATGGATACAAAAGTCATGAAGATAGAAACCCAGGGAAACGGTTTTATTCAAGCAGCACTTGCGTACAAGGTGAGCGGAGCCTAATTAGTCAGTCCATGAGCTTGAACCGGGAGCTTGGCGGCAGCCGGGAGGCACTACCTGGACAGGGTCCCGGATGTGGTGGTGGGCTGGACCGTGGGGGGGCTGCTCTGGAGCTTGCTCCTTTTGGTGGTGGACCTGCTGTCCACGCTTTTGACCGCTGACTTCACCCACTCGGCTTCTGGATTAGCACATACTTTCAGGCCACGTCTGGTGATAAAACTGTCATGCAAGAAGAGAGAGAGAGTCGGCCACAAGCTCTGAGCCCTCGGGTCAGGAGCCGCCCACAGACTGGAAGAGCTCTCAGGCACAGACTAGCAGAAGGAGTGACCCTCAGAACCAGGACACCACAGAGGAACAGCTCCCTCTCTGGCTGCAGCCCACAGGACCGTGCCCCCAGGAGTGCCCAGAGCCTTCCCCCCGCCCTGCCTCCTCAGTTCCACCAGGTGTCACACCTGGCCTGGACCCTAGTGACCAGCTGCTCAATTACTATGCATCTGCCTCTTTCTCAAACCTAAACATACTAATTTTTTGGATTGAAGTGATTTCTTTATTTCAATTCCTTTGGGCAACTCTGTACCAGGGACAGCTGCTCCTCCTGCAAAGGAGATCCTGGGGAGGGACCGGCTCAGCAGGCCGCTCCACACCCTGTGCCCCGAGACTGCCCAAGCGCATGTGGCCTGGCTGCCGTCTCTGCACTGGCCTCAGACTGGGCACAGCATTCACCTGCTCTGCTCTTAGGTCAAATCAGGAAAGAGGACTCAGATTCCTATTTGGGGTTAGACTTTGGCAATGACCATCATTTGGTGGGGCTGCGTGAAGACATGACGAGGGGGCCAGGCAGAGGGCTGTGGGTCAGGCTGTGGCTCTCCTCCAGTTGACCGGTGTCCTCTGAGGCACAGCACCCACTCTGCTCCCTCTCCATATTGCTGTCCCCCTGCCAGGCCCTCTGTGGGAGATACTCACATCACGGCCTTCACGGAGCCCTCCTTGATGGTGTAGGTCCTGATCCTGTTGATGGGCAGCCGCTGCGTGGACAGGCTCACACAGACGCTCTTCTCAGGGACTTCACTGCCCACACCTGGAGAGAGGAAGCAGAGAGACAAGACGGTCACATTCAAGGCAATGGTATTGTTTCAGGAAATTTGTGATGAGAGCAATTGAATTGTCATTGTCACATGGCACATGTGTATTTTCACAGAGATACCTCGATGGGCAGCACACGGCCCAGTGACGCCCACTCATTCAGGGACACACAGCTCTTGCCGAGGCCTGTTGTGTTCCGAGGGTTTCGGGCACTAAGACGGACAGAGGTGGACCCTGATTTCATGCAGCACGTCTTCAAAGGGGGTCAGGTACAAAACAGGTAAACAGAGAATTTCCAATAGCTGTGTTACCGTGCTGCCTGTGAGATGGGAGGGTCGTGTGACAGAGAGTAAGGGGACAAGGCGGCATCCAACGGGGGAGGCAGCTCATCTTTAACTAAAGCATAGATAAAGGTGTTCTTGTTTCATGGCAAAATGTGAAATACAGTGAGGGGGGGCTTTACCCTCAAAGGAGTGGCCGAGAGGAATTCAACTGGTGAGTTTAAAGGAGCATCTTGCACTGCAGAGGGGAATTGGCTTGGGAGGGTTAGCCATATATGGTTGGGCAAGATCTAATCAAAGTTTCCGAGGGCCCATTTTCTCCTTCTCTGTGGATACTGGGTGTATTTACAGAAATCTCCACCCACAAGCACCTCAAGCAGTGGCCCATGAGGCTCAGGTTGGGGTCAGAGGCTTTCTGAGAGCGTGCAGTGGACACCAGGCTCCTGCCCAGTTCCCGTGCCAGTCTGCGTGCCCTCCCTCTTCTACCGTTGCCGGTTTGTTCTTAATGCTGAGCTGCCTCTGAACTCAGTAAGAAGAAAAAATCTGGCTTCTTTTCTCTTCCCTTCACTATTTAAGAAGCCATTTTTCTCTGTGTGAGTGTCTAACAGGGCCACCAGGACCCAGCGCATCCTACTGCCCTCTAAACCACAAAAGCTTTCGCTCACGCTCAGTGACATCGTGTGTCTGTTGTTAGTCGTTGAAGTTTGAGTCAAAGCAAAGATTGTTCTGCCCGGTTCTGAGCCAGTTCTGAACACAAGAAGCTGAGCACCAGGGGATTATAAAGCTCCTTCAGTAGGAAACTTGGGAACGTGAGGCTGGCGTCTGCGGCTCTCGGCCTCTCACAGCATCACGGCCCTGCCCAGATCTGCATGCCACCAAATGTGACACCTGCCATCTCAGAAAAACGCCAGGCGTATGGCCACACGTGGTGTAACTCAGTGGTCATGAGCTATTTTGTTTCATCAATATTTTGTTCTGCCCAATGTCGAGGAGTCCTGGTCTTTGCTTCATTTACTCACGGACTCTTTACCTAGTTATGACCTTATATTACAAATTTACCAATAGGATACGGAAAAGTATAAAATAATTCCAGCCAGTAGGAGAAATTGATCCTTCCAGAAATGCCTGTTGAATGCCCAGACAAGACTCAGGGAATCTGAATCTTCTCTGGACATGACTTGCAGGTTTGTTGGGTCATTTATAAGGTATTGATCTACCTGTTCACACCATGTAAGCTCCTACAAATTCAAGAAATTTATCCTAAAATGGTAACATTTTTAGCAGTAATAATAGACTTTCCCGCTTACTTAAAGGTAATTTGACTTTCTGGATTTGAAGGTATGAGTTTCCATTTTTAGTTTGATTTTGATAAATATAAAACATTGATTTGCTTCAGAACATACATCCTCAATCTTATTCCCACACTATAATGGAACTCAAGATTTTGAGGATTTATCAAGATCAATAGTAAATGAGTAAAAGCCACAAATGCATTTATAATCATCACCACCATCTGTAGCTACCCTTAATCAAAAATCACCATTTATAAGGAGATTTGATGTGAGTAAATAAACAAGTAATCCATAAATAAGTAAATCAGAAGATCATTTCATTTTAATACTAGGTGGGTATTAGTATAATTTAGGGATAAATGAGCACAGTTTCAAAATGGTTAAGAAATTTACTCCAGATCACCTAATTAGGAAGAGCTAAAACCCAGCACGTAACCGAGTGCTCTGTCTTGGGAGTCTCCAGTCCCATTTTGCATAGGGGAAGTCATAGGCTTAGCCTGGGAAAGCAGTAACTCCAGTCAAAACCTGAGTCAACCCCCATGTGCGCCCGCCCTCCGGCAGCCTGCCCCTCCACTCACCGTACACAGTGCATGCAGAGAGACAGCAGATGCCCAGCAGGGCCAGGAGGAGAAGTCTCATGGCTGGGGTCTTGCGGAGCTGTTCAGGAGACTGAGGGTCGGCTCCCCGCCGGCCTCTTTTATCCCTCCATGGTCAGCGCGAGGCACTTCCTGTGGTGAGGGGGCTTTCGGGGTGGGTGTGGAATAGCGGAAAGTCTTTGCAACACCGATGCTTTTGATCTTAAAACAGAAGGTTCCTTTGCCCCTTCACACTAACCCCACACCCTGTGGCCTTCTCCTCTCCTCCTGTGGTTAACGTGTCAGTGAAACCAAATTTCTACCTAGAAGAAACGGGCTGTCTCATCTCTGGCCACCAGTCTGAAGTCAGATCTTCCACTGCAGAGATGCCCCAGGCCTATGTCATGGCCCAACCATGGGGCAGAGCGAAGGAAGTGGGGTGCGGTGGTCACCGTGGCCCATCCCACCTGCCTCTGGCCACGGGGCTTCCACGCCAGGCTCAGGAGCCCGGCTGCCGTGCCCACCCCAGGAAGGCAGGGGCTCGACTTCACTGGGTCCTCGTTTCTTGGCCTCTTTTATCCTCACTCCTCTCCTCACCCTTCATCCCGTTGCCCCCATTTCTCTGCCCCTCTCTGCCCCACTGCCCAAGAAACACTGACGTAAGTGTGAGCTTGTCTCTCACGTGTGCTTTAGTGGAAACTTAATATATATCTTAAACAGCTACTGCCAAGTTGTCCTGCACCAACTGCATTTGAGAAAAAAGAAAGGATCTGTAAACTGGCCACTCTGACAGTTGCTATTTTTGGTGTTTTCCCGACGAGTACTGGGCTACATGTTTGCATAATTGTGAACAATGTAAGTGCTGTCTAACATCAACTTCACATCTCCCTGTGCTTCTTCAACCTCCACGCCTCCACTTCAAGGAAATATAAGCCTGTTCACATTCAACCGTCCCCTTACAACTGACTGTGGCATGATCTGGTCTATAAGATCAACTCTCATTAGTGCACGCAGACATAAGCCCCTCTACCATCAGAAGTGGGTGCTGGGTAAAGTCCCTTAGTCATCTTTATAGCTCTTGTTGTCTGTTGCCCTCGGAACCTTCCAGAACAGGCTTCAATTGACAACGCCCCCAGCAGGACTCAGCACACCATGGTGCTACAGCCTTTTGACACTCAGTTTTTGTTTCTTTTTATTTACGTAAGCATCAACAAAAATGTATTTATTGAATACGTGTTATATATAGTTAGAGGTTTTGCCATTGCTATTAGGATTATGAAAATAAATTCCTGTTTCCATGGAAATTACAGGATAATCTCTAAGAGATTTTTCATGGCTGACATTTAATTTTCCAGCCAGACTTCACCCTGAACTTCAGAATGGCTTTGAAATTATGTCTGCTCTGGACACCTCCTCCATCCAACCTACTTACGAGGACCAGTGTGCTCTCGTCCTTCCATTTGCAAATACAGACATGTGGGGGTCACCTCAGACTCACAGGGTGAGGGAACTCTTACACATGGCCGGTGGGAATGGAAACTCATATAGCCATTAGGGAGGACGGTATGGAGCTTCCTCCAAAGCCCAGGCGCAGGACTGCCGTGAGACCCAGCGACCCCCTTGTGTCCAGGGAGGGGACCAGCTGCTGGAGACACTCCCGCACTTCCATGCCATGGCAGCACTGTTCACAGCCACCAAGGCGTAGAATCAGCCTGAGCCCATCAGGGCCCAAATGGACAGGGAAACTGGCCTGTGATCTCCACGGACGCTACTCAACCACTACAGGGGTCCCGCCACCAGAGGTAACAGGAAGAACCTATAAGACGTTACCTTCCGCCATGCGCCAGGCTCAGAACCTCGTGGTGGGAAGACGTAAAAGTCGATCTCACAGCAGCCGAGAGCAGAATGGTGGTCCCCTGGGGCTGGGGATGCGATGGTGGTGATGTTAGTCAGAGGACACAGAGTTTCAGTTAGATGAAGAAATAAGCTCAAGAGATCTTTGGTACAAGATGGTGACTATAGCTACTGATACGTCGTATTCTTAAAATACGCTGAGCGTCTCCACCACAGAAACAGCTGTGAGGTGTGCGTGTTAGATTCAGTCACTCCACTGGGGACACTATATGTGTTTCAAAACATCATGTTGTGTCCACTAAATGCCTGCAGTGTTTTCCGCCCATTTAAAAGGTAAATAAAATAAGCAATAAAAACAGAAACATAAGAGGAGGAGATAGTGCCTTGGCTTTCTCCAGTTTTTGATGAAAGTCTGACCAAAGGCTGTTTTCATTTAGCCCATTGAAATGGAGTTTCTTAAACCCTCAGGGTAAATTCTCACTTTGTCAAAAGATGGGGTCCTGCCTCTGCTGCAGAAGAACAGTCACCCACAGGGCAACAGCACAGAACCCAGAAAGGACGGCACCTGGAGGTGCCCCAGAACCCCTCATCTGCTTCTCCCCTCCTCCTCCTGGACGCTGCCCGGATGGGTCAGAACATCCTGAGGCTTCTCTGTTTCTAAGAGGATCTGAACTCTTCCCACTGTCCACCCCATGGTCCCCCAAGCCAGCGCCACCTCTCCCCTGGGTCAGTGGATCTGGATCCATGTCCCACACCTGCCGCAGAATCCTATCAAATCGCCAGCCACACCACGTGGCTCCTCTCCAGAGCGTCCCCCCTCTCCAGAGCGTCCCCCAGTGGTCGTCCACCTTTGTGAGTCACATCCAGAGTCGTCACAAGGGCTTAGGCATGCCATGGGCCTCCCTGGCCCAGGCTGGCCTCTCCTGTCCACCTCAGGCCATCTCCTGCCACCCCTACCCCCTGGCTCCACTGGGGCCTGGTATGTGGCTTCCTCACACGCAGCCTGGCCCCTCCCTGGATCCACCAGGTCTTGGGCTTCCCCAGGTCTCTCTCCTGCTTCATTTTCACCCACAGCACCTGGCACCTTCTGATGTAATGACATTTACTTGTTGGCCCCTTCACTGCCCACCTCCTCCGTGAGTTCTTCGTCTGGTCATTGCTGTCTTCTTAGAGCCCGGTACCAGCCTTCCTGGCTGGCCCAAAGGAGCCGCTCAATTCAGATGCCAGATGATCCTAGTGCGCATGACTGAGCCAGCGCAGGAGTGTGAGTGCGCCATGCACACGCAGAGCGAGCTCTCACACCTGCAGAGCAGTATGACTGGGTGCTGAGGAGAGCGCTGGCTGTGGAGGGAAGGAGACGGCAGGGTGCAGGACAGAAGCAAGAGGCCCTCCCTCCTGCTCTGAAGGTGTTGATTCCCTCCCATCAGCCTGTGGTCCACGTACGGATCTCCTCTCCTGTGGAACCTGTATCCTGGATTTCTCGGATTTTCTGTTAGGAATTCTCTTCCTCTTGCTGGGTGTAAGCATTCGTCATCCTTCTTCCTGCCAGGTGCCCCTCACAGGTGTTGGGAACACGTCTCTCGGTCCTCACGGGTGGGTCTTTTCACTACCTCTATGGGACAAAAACCCGAGGAACAAAGCCCCCTAATTCTAACGTGGTCCAGTGTTTTGCGGTTTGTCTGTGGTTAGTGCCGTGGTGCCTTCCCACATTCTTCTTCCCCAAGGGCAGAGAGTTTACCTCTTTTCTGACAAAAGGGTTTAAATTCTTGCATTTGGCGTTTGCATCTTCAGCCCCACTGGTGTTAATTTCATGCATGTCACCTAAGACGGGGTCCCGAGGCGATTTTTCTCTACACGACAGCGTTTTCTTCCTCTGGTTTGGAGTGGTCCCCTCCCCACACCGCCTGGCACACAGCCAAGTACACGTGTGCTTCAGACCCCTCTGTTCCATGGCTGGGTGTGTCTGTGCCCCATGGCCCCGCTCAGACTCAGCAAAGACAGCCGGTGGCTGAGCTGCGGCCAGCAAGCCCCCTTCCTCACCTTTCTCCAACTCACTGGTGGTCATGAAAAAAGAATCAGACCACAGTGAGACCCCAGTTCCCTTCCATTCAAATGGCCAACCTTGATAACTCTGAGATCAGTTCTGCGACGGCAAAACATGGAGCAACGTGGGTTTCTAGGGCCGCAGGAAGCAGCAGGACACACTGAGAGCAATCAGGCGTTGTCACATAAAGCTGAGCTTCTGCACCGTGTGAGGATCCGCACATCCACCCCACAGGTGTACCCAGAGCCACTCGTAGACGGAAGTGCTTCTGGACGTCGCAGCGTTCAGGTGAGGGTAGACTGGCCACCGTGCAAGGTGCGATTTGGTTATTTGGATTAATAGGCTGCTGGGTAAACGTGAGGAATGCCTAGCTGTACCCCTGCGATCAGGCAGGCATTCCTGAACACCATGTCTTGGGGACTGTCCTCCCAGGGTGGCCAGGAAGCCACAGGCCACGGCCTGAGAGAGCCTGAGCCTGGAGAAGTGACACCTACTGTCAACCACCCAGAGGTGGCACCTGCTTGTGGCCACATTGTGTTAGTGAGGAACAGTTACCTGGACCTGTCCAGAAGCCCGGGTTGGGGAGAGGAGTGGGTGGGGTTGCTCCTGGGAAATACAGGCCACGCCTGTGCCTGGAGCAGGGCTAATAGGCGCTGGGGACCTCCGACCCCCACCACAGCCGTTGCCCATGGTCATCTGAGCGTGGCCTTCAACTTCAATGTAAAGATTAAAAGCAAAAGAAAGATCCCTGTGGTCATGACTTTCTTTGAAACATGCCGTGTAAGTACGATGTCTCTTAAATTGTGCCTAGTTTCCCCCCAAGATTAAAAGGTTAAAAGAATACAACACTGTACTCTTCTGATTCAGTGCTGATCAAGATAAAGTGAGATAAAGAAATCTAGACACTATAGAAAAGTGTTTTTAAAGTAGTTTTCACCCAAATCCAAACTTAACCACTGCGGTGAACTGTCCTCCCAACACCTCTCCGGGTCAATGGGCCTTCGCAGGTCAGTCGGCCGACCACGCGGCGGTGCAGATTCACTGGGCATGTGCAGCACCATGAACTGACTGGATCCTCACCTCCATTTTACACACGAGAACGCGGAGCTTGAAGAGGTGAGTGGCCCGCTCACACAGGCTGGGCGGAGACAGAGCTGGACACCACAGGAATAGGACACCACTCTCAAAGCCAGGGCTGCCAGGCTCCAAGGCCAAGCCACTGTGGCGTGCCTGGCAGCCCACACAGCAATGGTCACACACATTTCCCTGAACTCTTTGTACTTCTCCATTTATCTCTTCAGCCTACGTCCCCTCCCTGGGCTTGACTCAAGATGGTCTCTTCCTTGCAGACATACAGCTTTCTTTCCAAGGTTAGGGCAAGGCTGGCTGGCAGACTGAGGCCACACAAGGCAGCTCTCAATGGCCACTACTCCTGCATTCAAAGAGAGATTTGTCAACTGAAAGTCAACTCTGGGTATGGCTGCATACGGCATGAAACCGGCTGTGGCTGAAGCAAACCGGACCTGATTGACCCTGCCACTACTACTGTATGAAAGGCCCCTTCTCCCTGGTCCTTAACAGTGCTGGGTGTCATCGGTCATTTTAACCAGGGAAGCTGATCATGTTTATGAGTTTCCCATGAATTCCGTTTCACTGGACTGTGTGCCCCTTTCTTTTTTCCTTTCTGAAAGAATTTTCATCACAAGTTTTTTCTCGTAAGTTTCCAACAAGAGCAAGGCCAGTCACACATGAAGTGACGGCCCTTGGGGTGGCTTCCAGCAGGGGTGGCAGACCCTGCTTGCAAACCTCCAGGCTGCCTGTCCAGCAGAACCTCAGCCCGGGTTAGGGGAACCCCTGGACCGCTCCTTTCTCTCCTCGGGTCTAGCAGGGATCTCTGCGAGCATGTCCTGTGGCTCTGACATTCAGGAGGAGGTTCGTCCAGCCGCGGTGAATAGGACACCCCTCTCTTACTCAGGGCTCTGCCACAGTGTGTCCCTTGGGTGTTACGTGGGTGCCTTGTCCAAGAAGCAGCCCTGGAAAGCCAGGACAAGAACCCCGCTTACACCATGCTCTTTCTCTTTCACCCTGTCAATCAAACCACAGACTGTCAGGTAGACAGGATGCAAGGAAGGAAGTTGGGTAGTTTGTAGGTAAATTTTTACCTTCAAGTTCAGGTTAATGAAAAGGCAAAGAAGAGTGTGAGAGAGCAGCACGTGATATGTGAGCGAGTGGACGGTGCGCTGGGTAAGGCGCTGTCTTAGAAACAGGAAGAATTTTAAAAACAACGCATGACTCGTGCTGGGAGAGGGATGTGTTTTAGACTTCCCTGCAGTGTGAGCCGCGCTGCACAGCCTCATCTGTTACTTGAAGTGAAACTTTGAGTGTCTGGGAGCCCCGGATGGTCAAGGGAGGAGCAAGACATGCCCCTTTCTCAGGCATTGACCTCGGGCTTGGTACGACACCGATGATAGACCAAACAGCCCCAAAGCACAACAGGTGCCTCAGGAAGTGCACAGAGAAGCTGTTCTGTGGTCCCATCAGTGGGCAGGGTGGGCCTGGAGCCTCTCCAAAAACGCAGTGGGGACGCTTCTTTTCTCATTAATTGTGGAAACTACAGGTATCGGGATCGCGTGGTAGGATAGCCTGCTGGAGGCTCTGAGAAGTCGGCCACAGGAGCTGACCCCACATTTCCTGAACTTCGCTGACCACAGAACCCTTTCCATGGAGGACTTCTCCCAGAGACACATTTCAGACCCTAGTTTAGGAGGGTGATCCTAAAAGTGCAGGTGGGAAGCCGTGGGTGCTAAGTGCAGGGGTGTGCACCCTAGGGCCTGCCCCGGAGTGAGAGGAACTGGAGAGCTTTGCACAGTGAACTCAACACAGGGGTAGGCGGAGCCTGGTACAGCACAGAAAGCCACCTGGAGTGTACATTTTCCAGGGGCAGTCCCCAGCTGGGGGACCAATCTTCTCTCTGGGGTACTTTTCTTCATGATTCTTTTCTGCTTCTGCTTATCTCCCAATACCAGGTAATGTGCAAGTGGACCGCTTGTTTTTCTAATGGTTTCAAAAAAACGTCTGGTCTTATTCAGAAACCACTTAAAACAAGATAGAATAGGAGAAGAACGGGCAATTGTGCCTCGTCCCAGGTGCTTGTGATGAAGACACGACACTCAAACGCAGACTCGTCACTGGGAAGGCTGCAAGATCCTGTGACCAGGGAGTGCTGCGTGGCTGTCCTCAGAGGCTGGGTGGGTTCTGTGGGTAGCCAGGACTGATGGTCAGGGGCCGGACGAGCTCGGGTCCCCTGCTCCACGTCTGAAGCAGCATGTGTGGCGCAGGGCCCTGAACCCCAGCCTGGAAGACCCGTCCATCCCCCCCATGGGAGGATCAGTCGCAAGACCTGACCTGCTCACCGCAGAATACAAGCCCACGGAGTAGCTCGATTGCCAACTTGTCAAATTAGCTAAAAAAAAAAATTGAATTTTAATCTTTATAGAAAAAAATCAGTATTCTTTTCTAGTAGAACATAATGAAAAACACCATTAAATCCTTTATGTTTGATCTTTAGTTTTAGTACCTCTGGCCAATAGCTCTTACCAGAACCAGGGGTCTGGGAGTGCATGGATTAAAGGGCGGGTGGCATTGGACGTCTGAACACAGTAGCAGAGCTGACTGTGGAAACAAATCCGTCAAAGGTTGACTGATGAGAAGCTGGCCCCCCTCGGTCCCGGTAGCACAGCAGCTCTGTCCCTGCAGTCACCTGCCTGTGGTCATCCACAGTGCTGGTCACAGCTGCCTGCCACATGCACTGTGCTGGGTATTGTTGCTCTCTCCTGGCCGGAGCATGGAACCCTCATGTTAAGACTTCATTTCACGACCAAATCCCCAGCACCTATAATGTAGGAACTCAGTCCATATTCATTGATACCATAAGGGAAAAAAAACTAATGTTCTTGTCATCTTCTTCCTCCTCCCAAGAACTCAAAGTAGAAGCACTGTTCAAGAGTTTTTCAGTTCAATTTGGTGATAGATACTTGACACAACTACTGTCAAAATACAACAAAGAACAATGGGAAAAGAAGCCAAAGGACACAGAGCTGCCCTGCACTGTGATAATCCCCCCGTCAATCCGCCATCTTTAATGAAGGAGAACAAACCAGAGTGACCAGCAACCCCACAGGACAGTGTCCACCCTGCCGCAGCCCTCAGCAGAACGCAGTGGAAGTCAGGATCTGAGGCATAGGATGTGTGACGTGGCTACAACACGGTGCCACCTGTGCTCTGCCATGCCTGTCGTAGGTACCAGACGTGTGTCGTGTGCACATCATGTACACATTGTCCCAGCTGAGGACCAATGGCAACAACAGAGAGAAAAGGGAACACTTAAGGCAATACAAGCACTTTTAGCAAAAGTCAGCTTTATTTTTCAAGTGGTGATAATTACACAGTAGTATCACACTCCATCAAAGAAGGGGTCAGTAGGCATACACTGTGACGAAGGGGTCCCTCGAAGTTGTGTGTTCACTCCAGGTGTTGATAAGAGAAATGCCTTGTATCTGGTCCAGTAATGAAGGATGGCTTTATGTGGAAGTGGTATTTCTAGAAATGCAAAGTTTATTCCTTATTATTGAAAAATGATTGTTTTTTGTACGAGCAATGTCTGACTCCTAACCACAGAAACTTATTTGAAAAGCAGATGATCAAAAAGTGAAACTGAAATCACCTCTAAGGCCGCTGGACGTGGTTGTCCACGTCCAGCCTTTGATGTTGGTCTGTCAAGAACATGTCCCTCATTTAGTACAGACAGAGGTCGGAAGTGAAGTGGGCCCTGTCCACTGTTCCTTCGCCTGTCTTCTCGCCAGCCATCCACACCACGAGCTCTTCCACAGGTCTAAACCGGAGTCTTTTTAAGGTCCACAGAGAGGCCCCTTAAGGGCGGTGATGAGGGTCCCTAACACTCTCCTGTTGGTGGGCACTTGGGTAACTTCGCGGTCGGGAGGCACCACTGAGGTGGCAGAGGACCTGCTTCCAAATCTGTGCTCTCCAGCCACCTCCTGGCAAAGGCCTGGCAGCACCCGTCCTGGCTGAACGAGGGTGCCCTGGGGTTCCACTCCCAGAGGGCACCTCGGGGGAAAGCAATGAAGCCAAGTCTGTTCATTTTTGATAGAGTAGCACACAGCTGTGGTAGAAGTGGCCTAGTGACAGCCCTGATGGTGCTGCTCAAGCCAGGCTCCTCCTAGAGGACAAAGCCCTGCAGGAGCAAGTCTCCCTGCTGCTGCAGCAGTGAGCTGCCATCTCTGCCTCTCACGGGCAGGCACACACCACCACAGGGCCTTCCCTCTCTCCCTCTCCCTCTCCCTC